TAATGAATGAATGGCTTAGCCTATGAATACTAATTTTATTAGCAAAATATTTAATCTAACATTTATATTTATTTAACTAAATAAAAGGCTTGGCTTAATTGTGTTATGCAAATAATTTAAATTAAGCTTTTGTAAATAAATAAATGGTTTAACCTGTGAATATTATTTTTATTAGGAAAATATTTTATGTAATATTTCTATTTAATTAACTAAATAAATGCTTGGCTTATGATTGTTTATTAGGTTATACAGAACATTTAACTTAAATTTGTGAAAATCATTACAAAATATAAATAACAATAATGCAAAAAAGAACAATCATAAACAAACAAATAAAAAAAATAAGGCTAGGTAAAAGTATCACCAAAAAAATCACAATGTGCATGTGAATAATTCCTATATTGATTTCTACAATTCTAAAATCCACAAAAGAAATCATATTTTACCTGTGATGTTGAGTTTGCAGTCTGTAATTGAAGGTAACCATATAAATAATGGCAGATGATTGCTATAGATGGCAGTGAGCCATGTCCTACCTTGGGGACCACCTTAAATGATGTCTGTGTTTGATTGGTTCTCAGATTCAGTGGAGTGTTTCCATGTAGACAGGCATCAATGTGTCACTGCAGTGAGGATAAAATGAAGACAAATGAATTAAATGTGAATCAACCCTGTAAATGTCAACATAAAGCACAAATACCACACACTAATAATATAAATACAAGGTAAAACACACAAGCATATTAAGTGTGTGATCACACACAAACTGTCTCAGCAGAGTAAAACATGTCCCTCTTTTGCCTCCAGCAGCACAAAACACACATTTAGAACAACCTCAGTAAAGACATTCAGCCTTATGGTGAATATTGCACCCTAAGGAACCAACAGGCCTTTGGTTACGATTCATTTTCCCTCCGGCTGAAGTTCCTGACAGGGCAGAGCTCCCAATTTGCAAGTCTGTCTGTCACACACTCACTTCCTCTGGAAACGGCAGTCTGTTTGGGTCTTTCTCTGATGGGGTTGCGCTCAGAACAGGTGGCCATCTGAGAGGGCAGTCTCTTTATCTGCTCCATCCTCTCAAAAACAGATCCACCCTGTCAGCCTACGCGTCTGTCAAAGCGCCATCTCATAGCTAACCCACTCAGCCGACTGGCCCAGAGGCTCTCCATATATGCCATAATAGTAAAATGTGCTCGTTTGAGATGCTGAAAATACCCATTACCAATAAAAGCAACGGCTTGTATCTGAAGCGATTGACAGATCTAAAAACACATTGTCTATTGGGCCAAGTGTTTATTCTCACCAGTTGAAATATTTTCACACAACATGCAACACAATCACACACAAA